CCCTGTAATTCATTATCATCATGCCCTTTATAACTATTCCTGCCTCCAAAAAACACAAGAGCCTGCTAGAGCATGACAGTGACCTTGATTCCAATGGGTCCGATGAGGACGATATTCGAATGAAAGAACTTCATCAGCAAACCGGTGAGCCACCGATATTCCCATATTTTGTACGCCGAAATGTGCTCTTTCCTATACATGACGTTATAAAACAATATAAAGCAATATAAAGTGATGTAGAGCATATCTGAGTCTGAACTGAGCGTGAATTGGGCGTGATTACATTGCTTTAGATTGCTATATATTACTTTGTATCGTAATTTACAGGAAAGAAGCATTGGGCTTGGAAAATACTACAAAATCTACTAATATCTGAGTCTCACCGGTTTACTGATGTTTTGGAGGAAGAGGAACCTGACTCTGACTCTGACGGCGAAGATAACGAGCCTGAGCAGTCCCAGCCCACAAAGATCCTTACACCACCTTGAGTTTCTTGTAGCTCACATCAGCACGTTCGAGCTTGCGGAAAATTGTCGTGAAATGGACAGATATGAATTGGTTTGTCGCAAGGAGGTGCATGAGCTCATCCAAATGGAGTCGGATTGCCGCAAGTTTCACATCACGACTGATCTTGCGAAATCCCATGTTGCGAAGATGATAATATAAGGGTAGTATGAGCGTACACGAGCAAAATTTCACTAAGTCCTAACATTTCCTAATTGAACGAAAATTTCACGCCAGTGCCATCCTTTATGCAAAGAGCTGTAAGGTAACGAGCACTTACCAATCCGCTGGAGATCTCCATTTGTCCTCTAGCATCACATTAATCATTATATAATGTCTTCTCAGTTGGGGTGTTCACTGCGATCCGCGCTGGCATCGGTTTTCTACTACCTCAATTGAGCATACCACAGTATACCCTACTCTGCTTCGCTCGCACCACCACCGTTAGCATGAATCTGAGGGAATATTGTGGTACTTGTTGGCGGCTGGACGAAGCGAAATGATGAATTTATCGCCTAGTCGTGGCTGAGGGGATGAAGGTGGAAGAAGTGCAGGGATGAACCCTGCGATGCTTAACAAGGAGTTGAAGGAAGGGTATTAGGGATGCGGTGAGATATAATTATTTGTTTTTCAGGTGGATGGCAACCGGGGTAGTCGAGTAGTGACGACCAACTCGCTCGTGTTCAAGTCAACAGTATATCCTGAATGGTGTGTTTCTCCTTCTCTTGTCTGAGTCTAATTCAAGTTCACTGTTTTGTATGTTCCTGCTCTTCTTGTATTCCTACTCTCGTGGCGTCCGCTCTTCGTGGAACGTCTCAAACGAACGGGATGACTTTGCTCAAATCCTTGAGCCAGGGAAAGTGCCTCTTCTGACCCTGGACTGAGTCATTTTGATCAGATGCAGCAAGGTTAGAGGATAGATCGAAGAGAATAGCAGACGTGGGAGAACGAACTTGGGAAAGAGGACAGCTGTGCGTGTCACAACACGGGTCATCGATAACGATGAGCGCTCGAGCTGCCGGATGAGCTGTGCTGATCGGCTCCATGACATTTTCATCCCAGGCGAAGTCTTGCTGTTACTGTTGACCCACCCTTTCCCTGACCTTGATAATTTCAGCTTTCGCAATTCGAAAATCGTTGCGAGTGATGCTGACGCTACTGTCGAGACCAATGGTGCTGGACCCTCGCGCATGACGGATACACTCCTTCACCTTGGTTATCCCCAGCTACCGGAATCGCGCTTTTAAATCCTTCCTGCAATTCCTTGTATCAGCTATTTAAGGTCTGTTGGCATCATCATCCAGGCCTCCGAGGCAGGTCAGCATATCCAGTGACGCCCGCTCTATTGATGTATATCCTTTAATTAGTACAGCCGGCTATATAATAATGTCCGAGGTCTACTTTCTGGAGTTCAACAAGGGACTCTCTTACGCACAGCCCGTCCCAACCACGGTGCATCACGCATAATGCTGTTGGGAATCTGGAGGATATTTATTAGCATAATCGCGCATATCATAAATCTCCCGAATCTTATACACGCGGATCGTTGATGAACTGCCGGATGAGCTGTGCTGACGACTTCTTCGAGACGCATATGCCATTTTCCTCCCAGGCGAAGTGCTGTTACTGTTGACCCACCTTTCCTCTGACCTTGATAACGGCTTCCGCAATTTGAAAAGCGTCGCTCAGGATCACTGTCATGAGTGATGCTGACGCTCCCGTCGATGCCATATAAACGTATGCATGTTGCCTTACCTCTTGCTACTCATCGCAAGGCCTCATCTTCCGCATAGTATTAGAGACCAGCTACATCAAGGCACATATGCTGTTTCCGTGGGACTTTGGTGCATAGGTCTGATCAGGGGGCTGTATACTATGAACCAAAATAAAGATCTCTTCTTGATGCGGGCACCACTCTCGGAACAGGTATAAACCACGAAGTGTTTCATGACCGCCTTATAGCTCTCGCTCGAGAGATTTGCATTCTAGCATGGCATCCAACATGGCATTCAACATCGATCTGAATAATTCCTTTGGTGCACTATATATCGGCGCTACTATTGGTGCAATGTCAGTCCAATTTTCAATATGAGGGTCGCTCATTTCCGACTGATCTTGATAGTTTTTTCGGTTTGAGCAATGTCCAAGCGTTTCTTTACTTCCAGGCACACAGGGACGAGGGAATCACATTCTACAAAATTGCAGTAAGTCCCTGTGTACTAGAATGAAAGGAAAGCCCCCATTGATCTAACACAATGTTAAGGTATGCTGGCTCTGGTAAGGTTTCTAGCGCTTGTTCGCTGGTGCTACAGTTGACTTGACGATCGCACTCGCAGTTTTCTCGATGCTTTGCATGTCGCTTTGGTCAATCACATCATATACTATTATCTTATCGTCAACTATGCAAATCCGCTAGCACTTCCCGAGATTGTGTGGAGCTTTAAGGTGCGCAATGATCGCAACTATACTGGACTGTTCCCTTTTGATCTCATCACGCGTAGGTGATGATGATCATCGACGTAAGCTATCACGAGCGAGCTATTGCGTGATGTACCTCATCTCATGACTTCTCAGACACTTATTGTGTATACTGTGCACCTGTGAGTATTACTTCGGCCAGTGGATTTTCCTGCTGATATACTTTCGTACCATAGCCTATATCTGCAGCGGATATGGATACGTATGCATCCACTGAGGCTACAATGACACTGAGCTTACCTGATCATCTTAGTTAGCAAAGGGAGAACTAGAATTTTGCCTGCGGTCATGGTAAGCGGTCATATCGCAGCTGGCCTCCTGTCGATCTGAGAATACCATAAGACGGTACCCATTGTCTCGGTTTTAGGCAAGTAAACACAAAGTGTCGTAATTTTTTTTGACTGACGTTGACCCATCTGTATCCCACAGGCTGTTGCCATCGGTGAAGTAGAATGCATTTTCTTGATCTGCTACTGACCCTTCCTCTTCACCAGTTCTGCTCAGGGCAATGTAAATAAAAGCCTCGCTGCACCGATTGGCTATCTCACCTAACACATTAATCTAGATTCAAGTGCCATCTTTTTTCGGAGCTGGATAGTATTCGGTGGACCGTCTACCTGGGTTTGGGCGCGGTCACGTTGATCGACATCCTCATCGCCACTTCATTGTGTCACCTCCTTGCTACTGCCAAGACTGGGGTTCACTAAGTATGGCTTTTCCTAGTGTTTTTTCTTCTCTGGCTGATAGATAGTATTGTAGAACAGATAGGACACTTCAGACGCTCGTGAGAGACATTATCAATACAGGATGCTTGACAAGGTATGCGTTTCGTATCGTTTCTTTCGCCATCCTGCCACTGATTCCCAACTTTCAGTGTGTTATCGATGGCGTGCATAATCACAGTGAGTGCCCCCTATGGCATTTACAATACCGTGGCTTATCGCCTCCTACAGGGCGCAGTAATGCCAAACAACCTCATCTACCTTGCAATCGAGTGGCTACTGTCCAAATGTACGCTTTGTTAGCTCCGTATTGCACGCAGAAAGCTTATTCGACGCCCTTAGTATATGTGAACTCCTATATGGCTCTACTGAACGCGCGTTATTACCACGATGGAAGCGCACACACTTCACAAGCCCGACCCCCGCAAGTCTACCGCCCAGAGTTACAGGTCAAAGTTTCACAGGACGTATTTCCCCGAATTTCCACATCGGACAAGTTGCAGGTCCCCGACAAGGCTCGGGAACACCCCACTTACTACACTCCTGTCGGGGTCCGTTCGAAGACAGCTGACAGTGCGTACATTTGTTGATGGAGGATTCAGGCGGGATGTGCCCATCCCATTGAAGTGGTCACAGAGTCGTTCTCGAAGTTGTATCAGTGTACCGGCATCTCTCGAGGGTAGACCAGATTTCTGAATATTCAACTCTGCGCCCTGCTTATGAGACATGTTCGGTACTTATCGGTTTCTTAGAATAACATAGACGTGCGACAGGTCGCTCGTTTAACTCACATTCCAACTTGTCCCTGTGACCTTTGACCGTTGTGGGCAGTAAGCCTGGTTGTTCAGGCGAAAATCCCAGTGAGTAATTGGCATCTGTGATAACTGTGGTACATGCGGTACATAACTTGCCATGTTCTTGTTACAACCTGCGAGTGCTTGCCTGACGTATAGCAAGTGACATGTCAAAGTTAAGACAGTACAATGTATTAGGCGGCTCGCAGTTTGAACCGTGTCGATAACTGGAGGTTTGTCAATAGCTCAGTCTACGTCACGTCAACACTCTCAAATTACATCGCATCCACATCGTTCGGTATCGGTCTCTCAACGCCCGCAGAAACATACAAACTCTCCATCTTCTTAGCATACATCGCAAACCGCCTCTCATCCTACTCATCATCCCACATCGCAAGCACTTCCCCCAATCCCGGCCTTGCCCTAACAACATCCCCCCTGATCTCCCTCGCATACCCCATCTCATACCGTCCCAAAAAATGAAAGTTGATCAAATCGAAAGGATTGTCAGTCTCTGAGTGTTGTTTCTCGAGCGTGTGGATGCTTTTTCGTTCATATGCGAGTCTTTCATCAGGTGTGGTGGGGATGGGGATGAGCCCGAACCATGTGAGTGCGTGGTACACACATATATGTGTCTTGTGCTAAGGATCAACTAGATATAGGGCGGAAATTTGAGATCTGATGTAAAGGGGGTATTTCTACTGATCAGGAGCCAGCATGGTAATCAAGACTGTGATAAGTGATCAGAGACCTAGGATACCTTTCCTATATGTCCCTGATGATAGCCCTAAAACCTCAGAGAGATCCATGAATGATTGACTAAATGACAGGTAAAATGACATATGTGTGAAAAGTGACAATTGACATCTTTTCACACAAAGTCACATTTATATATGATACAGGTTGAAGGTATCATTAAAAATATGTAGGATATATGGTAAACTACCTAAGGAACCTATACTACCTAATGCCCTGAGGATAGATGGTGGGTTGAAGAGATGTAGTGTAAATATGAGTTGACCCAGCATTAAAGTCCTACCACTGCTCAACTGACCATTGTCGATGTTTTGGGCCTTTGAAGTTTCCCACACTCAATTTGTCATCTATTTCACTTCCTCAGCACTCAATTCTTGTTAGATTGTGCTATAAATCTGTATATATAATACTGAATATTTTTCAAATGTACTCCAGGTTTCTGATTATCAAGATTCGATGTTTTGAAGGTATGGTCCCCTTATCAGTAGAAATAGCAAGTATATACACTACCTCAACACTCCAGCCTATTTTGAGCTGATCCTTAGTACAAGACACATATATGCATGTACCACTGATGATATATGAGCTGGGTGGGCCATGTGGGCAAGGGTGAAATACTGAAAAACATCAAAAACATCAAAATGCGACTTTCTATTATTTTGTTCCTGTAGAAGGATCCTGCATGTATCATGGGCTAGCTATATGATAGATATACTCTAAATATGCATAGGAATATGCCCCTCACCCCCCTTGAGGTCCGGTCCTGCAGGAAAATCTTTCACAGGGGGTAAACCACCAGAAGAGGGGGGTACACTGTGCAACATGGCATTCTCCTATGGTCCTGGGCTCCTTATACATTGTTCCCATTGTTAAATAGATGCTGGGAATCATTTTTATGAGTCTGTCCACCTAGAAATAATCAAATGAGAACATATTTTGTGATTTCCTGCATATATACTATATCTATTGATGTAGGACGCTTCAGGGGGTCAAATAAGGATCGGAATCTCTTCATATATACTAATAAACATGTTCTGAATGCCCTGGGACACTTCCCTATCAAAGGGGCAAAAATGCGAAAGTGTTCTGTACCCTACCCTATTTTGAAAGGGGCCTGGAGGGGGAGCTGTCACACAAATAAACAAAAAAAGCGGTCTATTATATTATATTATACATATATATACTAAACTACTACCTATATATGAACAGGGACCTATTGTAGTGTGCTGGTGAAGCTGCAGTGAGGTGGGGAGGGTGTGAGAATAATTATAATTGTGGGGTATACCAAATTGGGTGATGTTTGAGGTGTTGTGGGGTAATTCCCACACCATGTGGCTGAAAAATGCGGAGGTATGGTGTGTGGGAATAATGTGGGGAGGCCTGACATGAGGGGGTGACCAAAATGAGTGAATTTCCGCTTTTGGAAGCCAAAATTGCGGTCATCACATGACCAAGCTATACACTATAGGTCTGCTACTTAGCATGTTCTAATGCATCAAAAATCAGGCTAAGAAGCATAGATGATGCATCACCTGTGACTTGTAGTTAGCAGGCTTGATGCATCATAGCTACAGGGACTGGTGCAATTAGATCGACAACAAGGTCAAACCCAAAGCCAGTGATGATAATGATGAAGATGCAGCACTGTACGCAGCGACAGGAAAGGGCTGGTTCTACTGCCACCGTTGAATCAGTTATTCATGTTTACAGAACATGCCGACCTCCCCTGTTGTCGCTTCACCAAAGATATCAATGTCCAGATTGCGCTCTGTAAATCAAATTTCCATATTGGGTGCTTGATTAGCATGTATCCAGCAAGTTTCTTGCATCGTTGGTAAGTTTTCATGCATGGGCACGCTCTTCAGTCGTTAGCTCGTAATACGCATGGGGAAAAAACTACAGACCGTCCACATGATCCCATAATGACATTAACTTATATGCTGTTGGCATGGCCTTCGCCTTCAACTACCATATGTTCGCACTAACACAGAGTTGTATTGTGGAAGTGAGCATACTCTACTTTGTACAGGCCTGTTTAACTAGCTCAAGATGAAGGTTATCTATCCCTCCGGCAACAAATTATGCTCACTCTTGAATTTTTGGCATATGTCTGGTTCATAGATTTCACAAATTTCGCCTATGGCGCGCATCACTTAGTCACTACCACTTTTGGCAGTTCCCAATAGAAATTGATCTGGGTCATCGCTGGTAAGTTCCCATGCATGGCCACATTATTCAGCCGCCAGTTCGTAATACCCAAGTCCTACACGGTAAAAACTGTAGACCATTCACACCTCATCAATTCCGCCAGCATGACCTTCGTCTTTGGCTACCACTTGTGTATACTACTTCAATTGCGCGATCGGGGCTGGCTCATACATTGGGATTGTGTAGCACTACAATACACCAAAACTCAGAGTTGTACCGTGGAGGTGAGCATGCTCTGCTTTGCCCATGTTGCACGCTTATGGATGAAGGTTATCCATTTCCTCTGGCAACAACATTTTGGCAAATGTCTGGTTCATCGATTTCACCGTCAACACAATATTCCACTATGGTGCGCGTTACTTACTAGTTGCCGCCAACTTGTGGCAGTTCCCCCATAGACATTGATCTGGATGAGGGATTTGACTGTGGATACACACGTGGTCTTGATGTGAACATGTCCAGTGACTCGGAAAGCAAGCAAGAACACGACCAGAAGTTGGTCGTTCAGGAGATCGTCAGGTGAGCAGATCAACTTTGCATATTCTTATGGAAATTCCATTATGAGCTCAACGTCATTGGGATCGTCAGGTGAGTGGATCAACTTGGCATATTCTGACAGAAATTCCATTACGAGCTCAATGTCATTGGAGGTGTCACGAGACACCATCTTGGAGCACTGTAACAATGCTTTTGAGGTCCTGATTCAGAAACCGAGGAACATCTGGTTATGCGAGCAGACGCACAGCTAGATAGGTGTTCCCTACACCACATGTATATAAACCAAAGTACTAGCTTTCGACTCAATAGAAAAACCCCATCAAGCCTTAGCCTCTCTTAGCTCGCAACTATGAAATTCATCTCACTGGCCACTTTGCTCATGTCTGCCACAGTGAAGACTGCAGACCACGTGGTGAGTACTCTTACAGCCTACCATGTTCTAGATGTGTGAACCTTAGACTGCGTGCTTATGGTTGCTCTGTCATATACCTGATCCGAGTGCTCTGATATTGATATCCGCTCCGCTTTCCGACCCCTCTGCTTCATTCATCCTCCGCTCTGTCCAATCACAAGTCCGCATTCCACCCTACACTTCCGCTCAACCGCTCAACCGGTCCCTTTCCATAACCTCTCCATTCAACTGGATCCCTTTCCCCTTCTAGATATATACTTTCCCCTTCAGTACATAGACCCTTACTTCCGGATCACCAGTAATTCCTATTACCGCTCGATCGCTGATCCGACGCGTACATATTGATATCCACTCCGACTTATGTCTTCGCCTATGTAAAATACTTACAAACTATATCCTTGGTACATAGCTTTACTACATAGTTATCCTGATCACTGCCTCATACATAGAAGTATATAACATATCCTGTACTTAGATATTTTCCTTAGTCTTAATATTACTTGTCTTCTCGCAGTTACCTCTCATGAGAATTCTCAGTAGGACCTTGCCTCCTCTGGACACAAGTCTCAACTTGTTGTCACCTCCGACCCTCCGACCCTCCGACCCTCCGCTCCGACTTAGAGCTGTGCTCTAAGTCCTTCCCTTATTACTCTGCCCCTATCAAATATCCTCCTTCACCCCTCCACATTATCCTCCGCCTTCCCCGCCCCTATCAACATTCCCCTGCTCCTATCCACTCTCCGCATCACTTCTCGCCTTCTCCGCTCCGCTCCTAGTCTGCCCACCGCTAGTAGCTCTTACTTCCCGACCCTCAAAGCGGACCAAAGCGGTCCATTCGTCCTACTGTTGGACAATGTTGGACCCCCTCCAAATTCGGGGCACGTACTTGGCTAAGGGCGCAGCGCAAGAGCTGAAGCCAAGCCCTGACCCCTCTGCTTCCTGAGTCGGCATGGTACCTAACATGCTCGCAGGCAAAGTGGGGTGCGATCTTGAATTAGGTTTTAACAACGACAAT